GTTTCTCCATAAGGCCTCCTGAAAACTGTCAAGTAAATGGCCAGAGATCTACATTTTGGTAAATTGTAGAATCTGTGTCTGCTGAAATGGTTCAGTATTATTTGTATATACGCAGGAAAACTGCTGGATATTTTAGAGAAAGGCACAGACTACCTCTTGCACACTTTTAGCCACTCTTTTTTTATTTTATTTTTTTAAAGCACTAAGAAACACATACACCGTAGAATAGGAAATATGCTCAAATCACTAATAAAAGTTAAAATTTTCAAGCTTTATCCATTCTTGCCAAGGACTAGCAACCTACACTGGACTCATGCAGGGCGAAACATTTCAATTATTTTATGCAAACTTTTCTGAACTGACATTGTGTGATGTGTTTGTTCAGTTTGTCCAAAATTTTTCAGAGAACCAAAAACTAACTGAACAGCACACCTCCAAAGCCCAAGAGTTAATCACGTGGCAGCTGTACAATAGCTGCCCAGTTGCTAGTCTGTCATTACATTGATCCCAACAGGCAGTTTTTAACCATTTGCTCACTGACTGCTAGTGTCACCAGCTGAAAAATGGTTAGCTCCTAACCCTGAAGCGCCAGCCATTGGGTGCTTTGCGATTAGTTCTTGTGTCTGCTCTGAGTTTAGTTTTACAGCAAAATCAACAATGTCTATAAAAGGTATGCTGCAAGACCAAACATAACTTTAAGCATTTTATAGCTTTTGGTAAAAAAACAAACAAAAAAAACTGTATTTTATGAATGCTCAGTTTTTCACCGATTTTATTTTTCAGGATTTTATATCTTAAGCCTGTATTCCCTGTCTTACGTCTTCCTTTCTAAAATGCTTCTTTATTGCTGGTTACTGTATCTGGATATAATTGCATTTATACCCCTCCCTCCTACCCTGTACTGATACAGAAACACCGGCTCTGAGCAGAACAGGGTATCCGAGAGAAAGGTGGAGAGATGTTCATTGCCTGCCCCTAAAGTGTGAAGATAAACAGGCATTTGACAGATTTACAGTGAGTGCGTTATCACATGTGCGTGCTAGTTACTGTCCTGTATCTAATCTCGGCAAGGCGAGTTCAACAGCTTTTCCCCTATCTGCATTTTTACACTTTCAGTGATGGGTTAAAGTGGTTTTGTCATGGCAATATTGATTTTGAGTCTTTTATACAGATAGAATCTTTATGAAATACTATTCATTGAAACTCCAGTGTAGTCAAAACATATTATAATGCAATGTTTTTGGTCCAGTCCCACCTTGACAAAAGGTGGGGCTTCCCCTGTCAAGTTTTTTTCAGTTCTCACAGCCCCCACTAGCGATGGCTTCAATCATAGAGCTCAGTGTTGTACTCTCGCGCATGAATGTGAGAACTGCTTAATTACTGATCTATTTCTCTATAAAATATGAGACAAAGTAGGGTCTACTTTGCCTTATGTATTTTGCGATGCTTGATCAGTGTAAGAAATTGGTGGAGCTTAAGTCTTATTCAGACATACACACATTTCTACTGATTCTGACAGATTTATGTGAATTCAAAGTGAATTAAAAATGTAAGCGGAGTTTGGCTAGTTTGACATTGAATTTCAAATTCTCTTTAAATTCTCACTTTAGTAAATAACCCTGTGAAACAATACACATATAATAATGTTGATTAAGCATTTTTGAACAGTCAATCAGCTTTGGATGCAGATGGACAGTAAATAAAGCGGATGGAAGCAGGAAAACTGCTGTCCCCATGGACAGAACCAAATGAGAGTAAATAAAAGCAGGTCCACAGAAATATGGGGAGTGGGGTAAGGGGGGCAGAGGAATATACACCTACACAGCCATAGCCAAAATGGATAGAAGTTTGATCTGCCTTGGGCAACTCTTGTTATGCCACTGAACACTGATTTTTATTTATTTTGTATTTGGGCAGTGGGGTGTCCCTTTAAAATAAATCTCTTCTACTGTATCATTTGTCTCCAAACTGCCCTTTTGTGTTTAGTTTGCTGAGCAAACAATAATAAAACGTTCAATAATGTGTATTTATGTTTAACTATGCTATTACATATGGTAGTTAGGTCAGGGTTAGGATTACATTTTAACTTTCTTTTCGAATGCCCTTTAATATGTATTCATATGTATTATTAAAGTCCAGAATTAATTGGACTGTATTCTACTTTTGAGGTTGGTTGGTAATCCAGACAGTGAGCTATAGTGGTTATGTTGTTTGCTGTATTATTTAGAGTGCCCCATTTATGCATACATGACGAAAGTGCTGGATGAGACAGCATTTTTATAATTTATTAATATATTTTCTAGAATTAACCATTTACATTTTTATTTGGCATCTCAGTTATCAGTAACATATGTTACAATTTGATTCAGCACAGTTTGCACATGATTTATAAAATAACTAACAATTATTTAAAAATAATATATAAAACTAAAATTATTTTGGAGCCACAAGTGTTTCTCCATTCACATACATATGTTACATAGTTACATAGTTACATGGCTGAAAAGAGACTTGCGTCCATCAAGTTCAGCCTTCCTCACATTTGTTTTTCGCTGTTGATCCAAAAGAAGGCAAAATACCAAGTTTGAAGCACAATTTTGTCACAAGCTAGGAAAAAAATTCCTTTTTCAGCCCAGAATGGCAGTCAGATTTATCCTTGGATCAAGCAGTTATTACCCTACATTGAAAGATTATATTATTGAATATTCTGTTTTTGCAAGTATGCATCTAGTAGCTGTTTGAACATCTGTGTGGACTAAATCGGTTTAAATTTGTTAACCTTTCTTCATGGCTGATATGTTCCATTCTTTTTATTAATTTTGTAGCCCGTCTCTGCACTTTTTCTAGTGCCATAAAATCCTTTTTTAGAACAGGTGCCCAAAATTGCACAGCATATTCAATATGTGGTCTTTCCAGTAAATTATAAAGAGGCAAAATGATATTCTCGTCCCAAGAATGAATGCCCTTTTTCATGCATGACAATACCTTACTGGCGTTAGCCACTGCTGATTGACATTGCACATTGTTGCATAGTTTGTTGTATATAACAATTCCAAAGTCCTTTTCGTGTGTTGTTATCCCTAATTCGCTTCCATTAAGGGTATACGTTGCTTGTGTATTCTTTACCCCGAAGTGCATAACTTTGCATTTTTCAACATTAAATTTAATCTGCCATTTGAGTGCCCAGTCCCCCGGTCTATCTACATCCCTCTGCAGCAAAGTAATATCTTGCTCACATTGTATTATTTTACAGAGTTTTGTGTCATCTGCAAACACTGAAACATGACTTTCAATGCTGTCTTCAAGATCATTTATAAACATGTTAAATAGAAGGGGTCCCACTTTATTTTTTGCCAGTGACTACACAATGTTGCATTTCTCTCTAATCTTTTTATTATCTTCACAGACAATCAGGGTAATGTGATTTGCATGATGTAGGCATCTGATTTATTGTATCATACATGGATCTCAATTCAGCTTTATGTAATTTTTATTTTTTTTATTTTTTTAATGTCAACATTATTTTTGTTCATTTAACAAGTTATTTTATTTAGGTTTTTTTGGTTTATTTTTTCTGCCAATGCCTATGGTAAAAATGTTGCTGCTGCACCTCTGATGCACTTTTTTATATTCTATTTTTTGTAGGACTGCTTTCACTAAAAAAGGAATGCTATTACCTACATACTGATGGCGTGGGAAGGCAGAGTTACTGCACCCCCTTAAACAGTTATTGGTGAGTGCTTACCATTACAGCTTTCTTCAACAGTCTGTACTAAAGCCAGCATTGTGGCTCTGTCCTCTCTGCCAGGAATACTTAAAATGGCTGTTTGCATGAACAAAATGGAGGCAAAATGTATGTTTGCATAAACAAAATGAAAGCCATGGTTATTTACTTTTTCATAAACAGAAATGGAAGGTAGAAGTAAAAATAGCATGACATTTAAACTACTTGGTATAACATTGGCGGGTTACTGCAATCTTTAAAATGACTCACTGTCTCAATATAATGTGCAGCTAAACATTTCAATGAATAAACACCAATACGCTACTCTGCATTGAGCAGAACACATTCCCATTAACTGATATGTGTTCATTAATGGCTGGCATATGACAATGTAAAGAAATGTCTATTACTGCTAAAGGTTTTAAACCGTATACCTGCAGCACTAATATAAGGCTGAATGAGAAATGTTCGCTAAAAAAAAATTCAAAAAAAAATTTCACCATTTTAATGCAGACTATTTATTAAACAAATCCTTCTACTCGCCTGCATAATGAGCAGTGTGGATCTATTGTCTGCATTTTAATAAGTCTTCTCACTAAAAATGGAGCTTCAGCCACTTGGGAAAACTTTCATATTTTATACACTTAGTTATATTGTATAATGCTGTAGACTATGTTTTAGATCTATAAACAAAATAATATGCTATGTAGCTCTGTCTGCTTTTTTTTCCCTCCCTAATTATTCCATTTCGGGGTATAAAAATTATGTTTTGAACTCTAGAATGCCTGCTTACCTTAATTTGAATGTTTCACCTCATTTGTTCTGCATTTACATTGTGCAATTATTAAAGTCCTGGAGAACCGACCAGCTTAGCTTCTTCATCCAATGGAACATTGCCAGCATCATGAATATATCTGTAGGACATTAATGCTTATTAAGCATTGGACTACATATCACCTGTATATAGACATAGTAATTAAAGTGGAACTTGGATTAACTGCTGAGCCCTCCCCAGTATCCAGAAGAGATATAGGCTATTAGTGAAGACATTTCAGTATAAACCTGCATGATGTTAATAATGCAAAAGGCAGGAGAATCATTCATATGAATCTAGGCAGGAATTCTGCAGGAGAAAGCTAAACGTATCCATTGAATTTGAATAAAACATAATTTCTTTCCAATAGTAAGTAGGGGGATTTACAGTTAGGGCATAATGCCAGTGAAAATAGACTTACATCGTTTTTACAGATGGAGAGCGTTTCGTATGAACTTAAAGGGACACTATAGTCACCTGAACAACTTTAGCTTAATGAAGCAGTTTTGGTGTACAGAACATGCCCCTGCAGCCTCACTGCTCAATCCTCTGCCATTTAGGAGTTAAATCCCTTTGTTTATGAACCCTAGTCACACCTCCCTGCATGTGACTTACACAGCCTTCCATAAACACTTCCTGTAAAGAGAGCCCTATTTAGGCTTTCTTTATTGCAAGTTCTGTTTAATTGAGATTTTCTCATCCCCTGCTATGTTAATAGCTTGCTAGACCCTGCAAGAGCCTCCTGTATGTGATTAAAGTTCTATTTAGAGATTGAGATATAATTATTTAAGGTAAATTACATCTGTTTGAAAGTGAAAACTTTTTTTTTTTCATGCAGGCTCTGTCAATCATAGCCAGGGGAGGTGTGGCTAGGGCTGCAGAAACAAAGTGATTTAACTCCTAAATGACAGTGAATTGAGCAGTGAAATTGCAGGGGAATGATCTTTACACTAAAACTGCTTTATTTAGCTAAAGTAATTTAGGTGACTATAGTGTTCCTTTAATGGCTAAATGATTACTTGATATCCAGCATAGGCCAAAATCGTAGGAGAGATGAGACCAAAATGATTAATTGGGGAAACAAAGTAATCATTTTGACCTTGGTTACATACTGTGATGGAGCTCCAGTACTCCAGCTGAGTACCTCCATCAAGTGTTCCCTTTTGTTAGAGAATACAGAGCTGAAGAGAATATAACCCTTTCCCCAAATCCTCACAAGCAAAATGTCTAAAAAGATTGGAGGTACCCAGCACCCTCACTCCCCCCAAAACAAAATTGCTGAATGACGTTTAGCCAAGCTATGACCATTTCCCAGTCAGATTGAGTTTAGATCATTGACTCAGCCATTGCAGAATATTTCACTTCTTTGCCTTAAATAACTATAGGGTTGCTTTCGCAGTATGTTTTGGGTCATTGTCCATCGTCGCCTTACCTTTTTATTCCCATCATTCTGGTACAGGTTGGTCTTTGTTTTATCTGTCCAAAGAATGTCGTTCTAGAACTGGGCTGGCTTTTTTAGATTTTTTTTGGCAAGGTCTAATCTGGCCTTTTTATTCTCGAGAATTTTGAATGGTTAGCAACTTGTAGTGAACCCTCTGTATTTGCTCTTGTGAAGTCTTCTCCTTATGGTAGACTTGGATAATGATATGCTTACCTCCTGTAGAGTGTTGGTCATTTGGCTGGATGTTGTGAATGGGGTTTTCTTGTGACAGGATCCCACAATCATACGTAGATGTCCAGGCCTTTTTTGAGCTGCAGAGCTCACCAGTGCATTCTTTTCCAGAATGCACCAAACTGTTGATTTGGCCACTCCTAATGTATCTGTTATCTCTCTGGATTTTAATTTTTACAGCCTAAGGATGGCCTGCTTCACTTGCATTGAGAGCTCCTTTGACCTCATGTTCACAGCAAAAGCTTCCAAATAGGAATACTACACCTGGAGTAAACTCCTGTCTTTTACCTGATTGATTGACGAAGAAATAATGAAGGAATAGCAAACACCTGTCAATGAAAGGGCTTTGAGTCAGTTGTCCAATTGCTTTTGGTTCCTTGAAAAAGATGGGGATACATATTAAAGCGCTGTAATTACTAAACCCTTTCTCCAATTTGGATCTGAATACCCTCAAATTAAAGCTATGAGACTGCACTTTAAGCCCATATTCATTATTTAACTGTAACTTTAGGTACAGCCGAAATAATAAAAATTGTCAGTGTCCAAATATTTCCAGACCTAACTGTTAAAGAGGGACAGAGGTATTTGAGCCAAAAATAGGGGCTGTCCCTTCTAAATAGGTACATTTCAGAGGTATGTTGGTAAATTATTCAGTACAACTGACATTTTGTTGAATGAGCCCTAAAGTTCCAAAAGTGAATTATCGTTTATATTTTGCTACAATTGTATATAGCACCATGATATAACTAGTGCATATGACATTTAAAGGGTTACTCAAAGCACCTTGACCACGTCACTGATTTGAAGTGGTTGTGGTGTCCGGAGTCTATATGTGCAGCATTGTCTCTGATAACATTCTCTGTCAGTTCTCTGGTGGCATTGAGTTTTCTCCCTCTGGTTATCACTGCAGCAGCAATTTCATGTTTTTCCATTTTTTTTCAGTTCATAACATCAGTCCATTTTTCATATTTTTTTTCACAATTTTCATATAGCAATATATTTTTTTTTTGTCGTCAATGTTTATTTTTCTGTGCAGAGTAACAAACATTCTTGCAATGTCATAACTGCAGTAGCAAGGCAAAAACACATAGCATAAAAGTGTGTAGCATCCAAAATCATGGCACATTTTAATATAATAAATAAACAAAGAACGCACACCATAAGACCATAAAAAGTCTCTATCTGTATTTATTACATCACAAGTACATATACAATACTAGTACAGCAATAAGTGACTCACTAGGCAAATAATAAACAGAAATCAATATTTACCACATTCCACAAGCCTAATCGGGCAGAAACACGAATCAAACAAAACCCCCCCCAACGTTTTGGCTCCTCCTGGTAGCCTTTACCTTGACGTTAAAGAAAACATTAACCCTCTAATGGTGAGCCAGTACCAGGGACCTCCTGGCACCATACCTTTATTTCAGTTAAGTTGTTATGGTGCATAAAAACTGGTCCTTCAAATATATTTACAGTATAACAAATAAATGTGACTGTAACTAGTTATATTTATTTAAAAAAACTGATCTTGTTGCTGGGCAGGAGATGGTGAATGTATGAGATAAGGGCATTGATTAAATTAGAGACAGTGAAATATTTCTGCTCAATAATTCTGTGCCTTTTTTTAAATATTCTGCTGACCCACATTCTCTTTTTTTCCCGTGCTGTTAAGTGCATGAAAAGAAAAAAGAGAAGGGGATGGAAGGCTACTTATTGCTCTGCTAGACTAGTCCTTAACTTTGAGCACTTAAAGCTCTCAGCTCAATAGCTGACAATTTGTACCAAGCAAATTTGCTTAGAATTTACCTCCTCTATAATAAATCCAAATTAATAATTCATCTTTCCAAACCATTTTTTGACATAAAATAAAATGGTTATCTCGATATGAGCTCATGCATATTGCTAAATTCTGGAAAGTGATCAAAGCGATCCCTTATTACGCAGGTGAGAACAGTAGTTTGCATGCATTTAATTATCCATTACAATTACATCCACCAAAGTTGGGACGTGATCCAGGCTTCTCGAGTCTAGCTGGCTGTTTAATTGGTCTTCTGCCCTGTTTGTTATGTGGTTATTTCCAGTCCTAATCCTTATCCTCATGGTTTTTTAACTTCAGTTTAGATTTCTTATAGTAGCACTTTTTAATACAGGCCAGATGCATGCATTAACAAATTACTCTTAAATGCAGCTTTTCTACTCTACACCTTAGTTAACTTCCCCAAAACTGTTTAATTCAAAGGACTTTCCAGAGTTAAGGGTCTGGGCCACTTCTAAAAGGGCTTAATTAAGAAATCTGTACTGCATTTGTTTTTTGTTTTTTTTGTTTTATATACATGATGCCAAAACCATTGGCTCCATAAAGATTTTTCACTAAATCCTGAGACCTATTTTATTGTGTTTGCTGCCAAGGAGTTGATGCCTGGAATTATACAACATTTCACTGAAAGCAATGAAGGTCTAACTTTTATTGCTTAAAGCATTTGCAGGTTTTTGTTTTCTTCATATCAAAGGAGTTTGTATGGCACCTGGGGGTCCTATTATGTACTTCATTGAGATGATGTTGTTATGGTACCTAAAGTATTCCTTTAACCCCTTTAACACCGTTACGGCGTTCTATGCCGTCACGGCTTTAAAGGGCTTTAAAGCCGTTGCGCCGGCATAGAACGCTGTAACTGCTTTGAGCCCCAGGATCCTCTTCGGAAGGGTTGCTTGACAGCCCAGGCAGCCCTCCCCCGGCAAATGAGGCCCCCGGGGGCCATGTGATCGCTCTCAAAGAGCGATCACATGGCCCCCTATAGCTGGCTGTGGATCTGCCAGCAGGGGTGCTGTCTGAAATGTCAGACAGTCCCCCTGCTGGTGGGTAGTGTTAAAAAAATTAAACAGGTTTAAAATTAAATTAAAAGTATTTATTTATATGTATATATATTTTTATATATATATATATATAATATATGTATATATATATTATATATATAATATATATACATATATATATGTAATGTCATACAAAGTGTATTTTAATACTAATATTAGTATATATATTAATATTAAAATACACTTAGAATGATGTTACATATGTATTATATGAATATATATTATATATATAATAGATATATACACATATATTATATATATATACGTATAATTACAATAAATAAATAAAATAATAAAATAAATAAATAAAATATTGAAACAAAATTTAATATAAATTATATTTTCATATGTAATTTCATTCTAACTGTATTTTGTTATTAATATATATATATATATTGGTAACAAAATACACTTAGAATGACATTCTATATATATATCTATCTATATATAAAATACAAATAACCGCAAATATATATATATATATATAGATAAATACATATAATTACATAAAAGATTACATTAGTATACACGTAGAATTTAAATACCTATAAATGCATATATATTAAAATTCTACTTCTATATTTAATTAATCTTTTAACATAATTATGTGATTTGATTAATTTAAATTTGATTGACATGCCTGACAACACAGGGAGAAAGTGCAGAGAATTTAATTCGCAAGCACTATATTTGACCCTGTAACTCTCCAAGACACCATAAAACCTGTACATAGGGGGTACTGTTTTACTCGGGAGACTTCGCTGAACTAAAATATTAGTGTTTAAAACTGGTAAATTACAACGATGATATTTTAAGTAAAAGTGATGTTTTTTGCATTTTTTTACAAACAAACAGCACTTTTATGGACTATATTATTGTTGTAATATGTTTTACTGTTTTAAAATACTAATATTTGTGTTTAGTGAAGTCTCCCGAGAATAACAGTACCCCCCATGTACAGGTTTTATGGTGTTTTGGAAAGTTTCATTTTTTTGACATTGAAATTTGCCAGATTGGTTATGTTGCCTTTGAGAGCAGATTGGTTATGTTGCCTTTGAGAGTTTGTTTAGTCACAAACACTGGTCAAATATTAGTTTTTTGCTTTTTTCACACAAAAATAAATATGAACGCTAACTTTGGTCAGT